GCTCGCCTCTGCCGCCGCCGGGGTTCCAGCGTCCCGGGCAGGGGCGGCTGGGAGGCCGGTGTGAAAGCTGCCCTCGCGGTTTTTGGTTTGTAAAGGAGCGGTCATATGCTCGCTGGGGGAAATAAAGAGGGGTTTGGGGTCGTTTTCCCCCCAGTTACCAATTTTGGGCAGCTCTGCCTTCCCCATCTCCCCCGGGACCGGGAAGGGTTGCTCGCTGTAAAAGGGGAGATGTTAAAATTTACCAAAAAACCTTCTGTTGCAAAAAATTCTGTTTCTGGTGACGGGGAGGGAGTCCCCAAGGGAATAGGAAAGCAAGGCTTTACGCTGTCATTTAATAGCTGCTTCTGTGATTAATTGCACCGTTATTTCCAAAGGTTGTCTGCCATCTAGGAGTTAAAATGCTCTTTTTGTACTTACTGGTATGTTGATTTTACAAAGATGACACGATTCAGCATTTCCACGTACAACCCCAGAACATTAAAACGTTCAGAATCAATAGCTCTTGAATAGGCAACAGGCAATACTAAAATGTCTTTGCTCCTCCAGATCTCTCTGACAAAGGATTTGGGAACTCTCTCTTATCTCTTTCTTGCACCATTTTCTTACCTAGGTCTGTTTTCTGTTTACAAGCCTGAAGATGGCTGCTGCTTCTTCCTGCAATGTGGAAGAAGATGAGAGCCTGAAGGGGTGTGAACTCTATGTTCAGAAGCACAACATCCAACAGATTTTAAAAGAGTGCATTGTAAACCTTTGCATAGCAAAGCCAGACCGACCCATGAAGTTCCTGAGAGAACACTTTGAAAAATTAGAAAAGGTCAGTGATTTTCAGATGACTTACAATTTTTGATTTTTAAACTGAAAAAGATTGTTTAAAAAGTTTCAAATATTTTGGTACATTTTTTCTTTTAAATTTTAAATTATCAAGCCACTGTTAAAAACCAGGCTGTTAGAAGAAAAAACCCAACCCTTTATTTACTGATGTCTACTATAATGTTGGCTATTTGTATAGAATTCTTTGTGCATAACACGAGGATTATAATTTCTCATCAAACTGCACTTGTTAAAAATGGCCTGAAGAGTTAGGAGCATGCTTTGTGTCACGATACATGGTGTCCTGAACTTTCATCTATGGGAAGAACCTGCCCGCAAGAGCAAAAGATGCTGTTCCCTGTTTATTCCAGTGTCAGGTGATATGGTTTTCCCTTCCCCTAAAACTGAAGAAAATCAGGAAACCAACAAGTTCTGAAAACCATCAAACAGTTTGCCATTTAATTTTACTGCTCTAGCCCATCTGCATTGCTTATCCCTGGGTCCTCCAGCAAGAGGTGCATTCAGAAAGACTTCATATATTGTAACTGTCTTCAAAAGTAGCGTAGAGGGGGAAGCATTTTAAAACATTCTCAGACAAATCCTTACTAAAGCTTATGGGTGTCTTTTGCAGGAAGAGCATGTTGTGTGAGCACAACTTTTCTCTGGGGATGTTATTTCTCCAGAAATAAATGGGAGCACAGGGCTGCAAGTTGTTGATTATACAAGTCCTCAGTCTGCCAGAGACTTTATTTGTGTACTTAGTTTAAGAAGAGGATTATTCGCTTTTTTTGAAGGAAACGTCTAAAGTTTATAGGCTTAAGATAGGAGTTTTATGTAGTTTTTTCCTTCTAGAGACAGAATTTTGTAAGGACAGAGGAAGAATAATTATACCTAGTGAATAATATGTAGAGCTGATATATTACAGGTGATACAAGCATTTTATACATCTCATTGTCCGCTTCTCAGATATATTTTTGTATGGGCGGGTATATGCCAGATTTGTGTAGGTTTTAAAAAATGCAAACATTGCATTTTGGTGGAAGCCCAGTAAGAATTCCTGAAACATCAGGAAGGGGTAGGAAGTACAAGATGTTTTTTAGTTGTAATGCTTATTATTAAAAAAAAATCTCTTAGTTCTGCATATTCTAAACTTCTGAGAGCCAAGACCCATTTCAAGAGAGTGAAATCTGTTGAGTTTCCTTTATCGTGTTATGAATTGTTATCCATCTTAATGTGTGCAATTCTGGACTTCCTGTCTAGAAGAATAAACACCATTTTGGCAAAAAATGTTAACATATGTTGTAGTATTTTAGAATATTCTCCATGGCTAGTGGGATTACTTGAGTTATTGTACTGGGGGAGTTTGGCTTTATTGATCTAAACACAGTACACAGAATTGAGACAGGAAGACAGTTCCTACCCTTGAGAAATTATATATTCTTCCATGTAACTTCCTGTTATTTCCCAAATAACAGCAGATACCAGAATTCTGTAGCAGGATATCGATCAGGATGCAAACACAGAAGTTGATGGATATAATTTGTCTCAAAACAAAAGGAGATGATTTAGAAACAACCAGTCTCAAGGCATCAAATTAGATGAATATCATGCTTAGTATGGAAGGAAGCAATCTTGCCACTGACTCTGTAGAGCAGCCTGGGAGCTAAGCCTGCTGAGTCTAAAGGCTTTAGGATGCTTCTGGAGGTCTCCAGCGCTGTAATTCTTGTTCCTACAGCGGTTTGACTTGTTTGCCCAATCACTTCTGAGGACTTTCTTGAGATGAATTGCACTGTGGAGGATTTTCTGCTGTAGGATAATATTTTGACTTGGTCGGTTGCATAATAACAGTTGAAGGAAGGCTTGTAAAGATAGAGAAATCATTTCAGTAAGTTTTATCCTGTTTTTAGAAGACACTTGTCATATGTAGGTATTCTGAAGAAACTTAACTGAATTGTGAATTTAGCAATTGCCTGCAACAGTTTTTTGTATGTGAATGAGCAATACACTGATATGGCACATTGGCTATTAACTCCTTTAATTTTGATCCTGTGTAGTGAAAGGAGTGAAAATGTTTGGGTTTAAGCACGATTTTCTAAATGAAGTAATGCATTTTTCCACTGAAGTGTGGTGTTTTGGGGTTCTTTTCCAAACTCATTAAAATAGACAACACGTTCCACTGAAGAGAGCAGTGGAATGACAGTGTATCTGTCAAAAATTCATGTGGGCAGTTTAGAGATGAAGTGTGGGATATTTTTCAAGTGGTTAAAAAAGAAGCTTATGGAAAACGTGTAGAGCTCAATCCACATCAGTGTACTGGAGCTACCTCAGAGGTGAATACAGAAAAAAGTTTATTTCATTTTGCTAATTCTTAACTACATCTCATAAAATCAACTCAGAAAAGCAAGATTTATTATCATATGCAAGATCAGACCATATTATAAATGCTTTTCACCTTACTTCTTATGACATCAGAGTTAGGTCCATTGCCTTCAGCCTTCATCTGTACTGCTAAATGAAGAAGGGCCAGGGACTAACCCCTGACCCCATGACACTAATTGGCACCAAATATAATTCTTGGGTCTAACACGTCTAGGAGCAGGTTTGTTTTGGCAGGAGTGAGTTCAAGCAGCTCAGAACAGAGCCAGGGAATGAGCTAATAGTTGAGAGATGTGGACTGTCTTGGGCTAGTATTCAGGTCCATGGCTGGGCCATTTTTTATTTCAAATTGACATGGCCTGAGAGGGCTGTAAAGTGAGAACATGAATAAATACTTATGAATAAAGTGCTAGAGATTGAGGTTTGATGTTGATTCTGCAGTCATCGTTTTCAGCTCGAGAGTGCCAAGGTTAGAAAGAAACGTCTGATGTCTTTTTAAGTTTGCAGCTTATTTGGATCAAGTACAGTATTAAAAAACATAACTCTGAAAATAATTGTAGGAGAACTTCAGTGGATATTTTTCTGTTCACTTAATACTGGCAGGACCTGCTTGTCTTAAGATGCCAGTAATTGCTGGGAATCAGCCTAAGTTTCTATATTCTGAAGTTTGCAAGTCAGTTTTTATACGCTGTGACCTACAAACTTCAAGATGACATCTACTCTGATCACGTTAGCAGTTACTTTGTAAAAATCTCTAACATTCCATTGAGCACAGAAAAGAGTTGAAAATGGTTTAGATACATGAGATTTAAAAAAAATTATGTAATGTTTTCATTTGAATAATTTGTTTTACATTTCCATGTGACTGTATAGAACTTCTTGTTGGTGGATGGGGTGAGGAAAACCTTTCCCTTAATGGTATTAATTGGCTTTTTTAGAGCGGGGGAATAGACGTTAGCTAAGAAACTGTGGCATTATTTTAACAGCTGTAATTAGGTCTTGTTTACTTCAGGACTAAAGAAGGCATAGCAGAAAAAAGAGCGAACCCATCTTTTATCTCCAGTTCTTACCTTATGTAAAGAAGTTAATTACGAAGAAGTTACAGGCAAAGCCTTGTATTTTCAGCTATACCAAGACTACAAAACTTTCATTAGTGTCAGACTGTTTAGTGACGTGATGATATGATCAAAGGTGGAGCTGTCTTGCCAGGCTAAGCTAGACTTTTGTTCAGAAAAAAAATATAATAAAGAGTAGAACTAATGAAGAAAATGGCACAAAAGAACGGGAAGCAGCAGGAACCTGCAGCATATGTTTAGGCATTACCAAGTACTTTGCTGAAGCCATTTTGCGTGCAGTGTATTTCAGAGCTGTGGCTTTGCTAGCTGAGCCAGGTGGTCTTTGCTAGTATCTTCTGGACCTGAGCTCTTTCCTGGTCCCTTCTATTGCCCTGTGGACATACAAGAAATACTGTCTTGCACATACTGAACTTACTGTCTTGGATTGCTGTGGATTGGCAGTGGTTTTATGGACCCAGGATGATGCTGCACATCTTAAGGTTTAAAGATCTAAAAAGAGAGTTTTAGAAAAACCTGGACTCTACCGTCTGTAATTAAATAAATCAAAATGAGATTATCTGCGTAGCTCCACCTGGTGATATTAGACAGTATTGCACACAGAACTGGTCAGAACAATAAAAGCATTTGTGCGAGAGGTTTGCTGTAAACTAGCACTGAAAAGAAGGTGTGTAGTAAACTACAAATTCATTCACTGTTAGTAAAATACAGTTTATTTATTTATCATAAAGAGTTTCAGAACCAAGGGTATTTGAGCATCAAAATTTGAGCATCAGGCTTTTCTTCTGCAACAGTAGCCTCCCAGTATTTACATTTTGTCACAACAAGAAATTTTCAATCACTAATTTCCGCCAGAACCTGGCCAAAACAATGAAGTTCATTCATATAAGTACAGGTGATTATGCTAAGTATAACTCATTCCTTTAAGATAAGCTGGGGAGAGGTTATGGATTGGAAGGAAAATCCTACGGAGGAAAAACTATCGAAAAAATGCATTAACTAAGCCGTTTGATAAAGACTAATATGACAAATATTTCTGTATCTTTCAAAGCTTGCAAAGCAGTCAGGCAGTATCTGCTTGGTGGTCAGAAATGTTGCTAAAGCATGTGGGAGCACGCCTGAGCTACCCGAGACGCTGATAGCAATGCAGTGGTGGGAGCACTGGGTGCCCTTGCTGTGTGACTGTGGTTCTGAGTAGGCTTGGGCAGCCTCTGCTCCTGCCTCTCCACTGATACCAGTACCAGAGACAGCTGGATGAAAATCAGCTCATGTCTGACCTCTGTGACTGCCGTAGTCAGCCACAGGCAGTGTTGTGAGAGGTGCCAGTTTTCTTGGAACAGGTAAAGGAAAAACTAGGTGAATTTTTAAGACCCCTCAGGCAAGCTTTCCTAAATGCAGGAGGTTTTAGGGAAGGGTGGAGGATGACGGGGATAAGAGCAGAAAGAGAAAAAAATTTTTTTCTAAGAAATAAATTGGTTATAAGTGAAGCCATGCTCTTACGAGCTTGTGCAGAACATGTTAGAGCATTGCTGAGCTCCCTGTTTACTTTGTGTGT